CAAACATCTGATCGTCATCTCCGGTGAAAATTAAATCATCAACGTAAAGACAAGCAATCAACATGTTACCTCCCTTCACTTTAATGAATAAGGTGTGCTCATGAGGACATCGATGAAATCCCTCTTTGTTAAAGTATGACTCTATGCGGCTGTACCAAGCTCGAGGTGCTTGTTTCAACCCGTATAGAGCCTTCTTTAACCTATAAACTTTCTGTTCAGTATTCTTTTTCTCATACCCAAGCGGTTGCTCGATGAAAACTTCCTCGTTGAGTTCTCCATGGAGGAAAGCAGACTTAACATCCAACTGAAAGATTTCCCAACGTTTCTGAGCTGCCAAAGAAATCACCGATCGAACCGTTTCCAAGCGTGCTACAGGGGCAAAGACTTCAGTGTAGTCTATACCATATTTTTTGGTATATCCCTTTGCTACCAACCTCGCCTTATACTTCTCTACATCACCATTTTCATTGAGTTTTGTTTTATAAATCTACTTCACAGCAACTTTCTTTGCGCCTGCAGGTAAATCTGTTAGTTTCCATGTATCATTTTTCTCTATGGCTTCAATCTCTGCATCCATCGCTACTTTCCACTTCGCATCATTTTTTGCCACTTCAAATGAAACTGGGTCATTATTAGTTGCAAACATGACCAAGTTTGACATTTCTTCTTCTTCTGACAAACTTTCGCCACTGACATACTCTCTCATCCAAGTTGGTTGCTGTCTTTGTCTGGACTCCATGTCTTGAAATAAAATATTGTCATTCAAGTCATCAAAACCTCTTTCCTCTGTAGTATCATTTACTCCAGCTCTTACTTCATTTTGATTTGCACTTGTGGCACTTGATTCTTCACCATTATCTCCCCAATCCAGATCAACTAAAACAGCTTCGTCATAATCTCGTCCTCAATCCCAACTTTTGTCTTCTTCAAACACCACATCTCTGCTTATAATGATTCCTTTAGAGATAGGATCATATAATCTGTAAGCTTTTGACTCCTTGCTTACTCCAAGAAAGACATATTTCCTGCTTTTGTCATCAAGTTTTGTCCTCTTGCAATCAGGGATGTGGGCATGAGCTATACATCCAAATATTTTGAAGTATGCTATAGATGGTTTGAGTGAACTCCATGCTTCTTCTAGGCATTTGTTCTTTACAGCAAGTGTTGGACTTCTATTAAGGATGTGAACTGTCCAAATTTACAGCTTCTGGCCAAAACGTTTTGGGCACCTTTTTCTCTGAAATCATACTTCGCACCATATTCATGATTGTTCGATTTTTACGCTCAGCCACGCCATTTTGTTGTGGACTGTAGGCAGCTGATAATTGTCTTCGAATGCCATTTTCACTGCAAAAATTGGTGAAATCAAGTGAAGTGAACTCCCCCACGATCCGTACGAAGTCCTTTAATAGCCAAACCACTTTCCTTCTCCACTCTGTTCTTAAATTGTTTAAAAACAATGAAAGCTTCTGATTTTTCAACCAGAAAATAAACTCAAACTTTACGACTAAAATCGTCGATGAAAGTAAGCACGTATCTTTTGTTGCTGTTGGATATGGGATTGATTGGTCCGCATATGTCCGCATGCACCAATTCAAGAATTTGAGAAGCCCTCCATGTACTTTGTCTGGGAAAAGGATTTCTTTGTTGCTTTCCCACCAAGCAGTCTTCGCATATTCTTGACGACGTGTCAAAGTGTGGCAACCCTCTCACCATGTTCTTTTGTTGGAGAATGCTCAGACCATTAAAACTTAGATGTCCATATTGACAATGCCAAACTCGAGCTGGGTCTTCTAGAAAGGAGATAAAACATGTCTCTTCCTTCAATTGTGTTGCAGCAAACAACTTAAACATGCGATTTGAAGACATGGGTATCTCCACAATAAGTCCTTTTTCTGGATGAAATATTTTGCACAAGCCTTTTCCAATCAAAAACTCCAATCCTTTCTCAGCTAATTGACCAATACTCAAGAGGCTATTTCTCAATCCAGGGACATAGAAAACATTAGTAATGATTTGTACATAACCATTTACTAAGATACGTACAGTACCTTTTCCCTTCACATCCATACTTGAATCGTCTCCTAACTTCACTTTCTCCCTGAATTTTTCATCAAGGTGGGAGAAAAACTCTCGTTTTCCACACATATGATTGCTGCATCCAGAATCTAAGAACCAAAACTCCTCATTACCGATTTCCGTGTTGTTCACATGCGCCATTAAAAGCATTTCTTCATTGCTTTCAATATGATTCGCCTTTGCATTAGACTCCTTGTTAGGACATTCATATTGAAAATGACCAAGTCTATGACAATGATAACATTCGATGAGAGATTTGTCAAAGCTGTGTCTGCCTGCACCTCCTCTTCCTCGCATGCCACCTCGAACTTGTCCTCTCCCACGTCCTCTTGAAGACTCTCCAAAAGTAATCTTAAGTGCATGTTCTTCTACGGTCTGGCATTTCATTCGTTGTTCATGCACCAGAAGACTACTTTGTAACTCATCAATGGTGAGATCATGCAAGTCTTTAGACTCTTCAATAGAGCACACGACATAATTAAACTTGGATGTCATAGAACACAGAATTTTTTCAATGATGTCTACATCCTCGATCTTTGCCTTGTTGATTCTCAGCTTGTTGACGATAGTGAGAGTACGAGCGAAATACTCGTTTACCGTTTCTCCTTCATTCATATTGAGCACCTCATATTCCTTCTGAAGCGCCTGACGTTGTGCTCGTTGTACCCTTGCAGTCCCTTGATACTTTTTCTTCAAAGAATCCCAGATATTCTTTGCTGTATCTTTATGCAAGATTGTCTCCAGAATTGATCTATCAATTGCTTGAAATAGATAATTCTTTGCTGTCATGTCTTTCAACCTTGCATCTTCCACAACTTTCTTCTGTACGTCACTAAGTTGCTCTCCTTCTGCTGCGGCAGGAATTCCATTCTCTATTACTGTCCAATATTCATTTGATCTCATGAAATTCTCCATGAGCATACACCAGTGATCATAATGCCCGTCGAACTTAGGAATTGCTGCTTGCACAAATCCACCTTCGGTTGACATGTTCTCCACACACGTAGAAGACTACAACTTCTATGTTGATCAGGCCGCTCGTATGGGCTCTGATACCATATGATAACTTTGAGAAGAAATGAATTCCTTTATTATTTTGCAAAGATAATTGGCTATATAGCCTTACAAAATAACAGAAAAACAATCGAAACCCTTATTCTCAGCCATAAGACTTAGTAGACTTAGACTAGAAAATAAACAACTTATTCCAGAAGAAACAGTCAAATAACAAACTAGAAAATAGCTCTGACTTATTCAATCATGTCAACAATCACTCCTATCGTCGGATTCATAGTGTAACGTATACAGTGAAAGGAACGGGTGGTACATAAGGTGGAGGAGCTACATATGGCGGTTCGGCTTCCTCTACATGCACCTTAGGTGTCTCGTGAGCTATGGCTTTCCCTTTCTCTTCAGCAAGTTCAGGTATTTATGTGAGTTTTTCATAAAAGTTTAGGTATTTATATGCTATTTTTCCTTTTGTTTTCGATATTCATATACTTCATGTGATATTTTTTGATCTAGTTCTTAGTTGAGTTTTGCTCCTTGCGTTAACTATTCTCAGTGTTCGACCCTACTACTACAGTTGATCTGTATCCTTGGGGTATTCGCTGTGTCTAGATTTTTATCACTTGAACTTATTTATACACCTAGATTTGTGGTATCAATAGGCATATCCCATGCCGTCGGTGAATACACAAAAAGTACCAACTCTATTATCTTCCCCGTAGATGTAGGTGACCATAGTTTTCGCCGGTCGGAAAACCCCTCCATTCTTTTTTGTCTCTTGCAGGGATATCTTAGGGATTAGAATAAGGGGTATACCCGCGGAATGCAACCGGAGAGATGATTTGAGGATTTGAGGAGCTGACTCCAATTTTGGGGTTTGCAACTGGAGCAACAGGGAGTTCCTAGGGCTAGGGTTCGGTCCAAATAGGTAAAATTTTGTTTATACGGTCTTGTTTTTTACATCCTTTTCCAAGGGGAAGAAGATATAAAATAAAAGTTGGAGGTTTTAATTTCCATCGTCATTAAATGAAGGATTGGATTTCTTATGTGTCAGTAGATAACTTTTAATCAACATCTTTAAATAAAAATCAGATTTTAGAATTAATTGCGCGAAAAAACCGCAGTCTTGGGACGGATCTACATACGGAACACTCTTGTACTTATCCATTTATCACCATCCAATATCCATATTAGAGATCGGCATTTCCATTTTATTTTTATTTTTATTTCATTTTTAATTTTATATTTATATTAAAGATTAATTTGAATTATTTTAATTTAAAAATTCAGAAAAAATAAATCCAATCAAAGACCGTATTGGAAATTGGATATAATTTTATCCGATAAATACTATGATCATATTTTCCACCATTGTCTCAATTTCTGTAACTCCATGTCTTCTTGTGTACCACACAAAATTGACATATTAATTTACGGGTTCCAGGAAGTGCCAATTGGAAAAGTACTTCGTCTTACTTTGAAACCGAATCTGAGGGCTATAAATAGAAATCGTTGACCTTTCACCACAACGTATTTTACTTGGCCCAAGGGGAAAAAAAATCCATTTTCATATTTTTTTAATATTTATCCTTTAAATAATCAATTAAGAATATATATATATATAATGAAACCATCTAATCAGAAATTAATTATTAAATTAAATAAGGAATTATTCAAAATTGAATCCCTAAAGCAAAGGCGTAAGAACCGTAACAGTGTAAACTAAAAAAAGAAAATCTCTGTTCAAAGTAAATAAAATAAAGAAGATAAATTTAAACAAAAAAAAAATACCCCGGATTCTAATTTTACTCTGAGTCAGGTTGTGATTATCCACAGAATTATCTGTTAGTATCTTTTTTTTAAAAAAATTCTTCTTCTTCTTCTTCGTCTTCCACTATTTATATTGCACCACAAACACATCTCTCGTATTGCTCTCTCCTTTAGGGTTTCTTACAGGTTGAGATCATCATCGTTTAGGGTTTTCAAATGATGCGTGTTTCAAAGATCGTGTCTGTGTTATTGTTGCCTGTATTAATAAGTATAGTCAATGATAATGGCGTTGAAGCATCGCATAAAGTGTTCAAGAGATTTCAGTCTCTATCTGCCGAGAGAGTGAGTCCTCTTCATAGACCCGCCTTTCACTTTCAACCTCCTATGCATTGGATCAACGGTACGTTACTTTCTCTCTCTCTCTCTCTCTCTCTCTCTCTCTCTCTCTCTCTCTCTCTCTCTCTCTCTCTCCCCCTCTCCCCCTCTCCCTCGTTGTGTGGATTCTTTTGATGAGTTTTCGTGTGAAGGAATCAGATGGGAAATTTGGGTTTGTTTGTCTGTTTGTTTGTAATTATGTTCGACCGTTTCGGACTCTGGGTGATTGATTTTAGATTCTTCCACACAATATTTTGTTTAATATATAGTTTTCTCTCTTTTAGGTTATAGATTATAGAACATTGAAATTTTGATTTGTTCTTCATGTGAAACCTCTCTAAACATTTTACCTTTTTAAGTGATCTTTGTTTTTCTGTTATAATTTTATTGCTCCAGAAAAAAAAGTGGTATATCAAAATTCTATGAGTGTATATATATACACACACATCTCTAAATTTCCAATAAAAAATTATACCTAATTTCGTTATTTTTAGTTTTCATTATACGTACCGTAAAAAAACACTTACGTATTTATATTTTATATACTTTTTATAAGTAGAGGAACAGAAACTACTGTCATTATAGTTTCAAGCGCACACACTCATTTGCATGTGCAGGTGCATATATGAGTAACGAATATATATTACTACTCAAGCATGTCTACGCATCTATATGTGGATATCCATCTGTATGTATGTATGTATGTATGTATGTGTGTGTGTGTGTGTGTGTGTGTGTGTGTGTGTGTGTGTGTGTGTGTGTGTGTGTGTGTGTGTGTGTGTGTGTGTATGTACATGCTATCGTCAGTGAATTAAACCGGAGAGTCTTTGACTGGGGCAGAGTCTTTTACCAAATGGATTTTCAAATATGGATCATAAAACGTTCACAAATGGAAATTTTTTAACCAATGTGGAATATTATAAAATATTTTAATTCCCTATAGAAGAAAGTTCCGATCTATTCTAACCTAATGATACTACATTACATATAATTGATTTATAATTATTTTATATTATATAAAGTACGGATTTATTTGGTATTTTTAAAATCAAGATTTCAGGATTTTCTCTGCCTATATAAGTGCAGATTTTATTTGCTTTCTTATTTAGAAACTGCTGGTTTCATCCTATATTTCTTTATTTCTTCTGTGTTATTCCTTCATTAATACTGCTTAATTAAATCTATTCCCTAATATTTGAAAATCTAAAGTTATCTAATGCTTAACTAATTTAAATTTAAAGTTATCTAACCATTTTTATTTTATTGTGTTTTCATGGATTTTCCACCACTTCATCCAACAGATCCAAATGGTAAGTCCATCAAACTATGATTTTTTTTTTACAATTCATCATATTTTAATCAATTTATTACGTAATTTTGTTTTTGTTTTTTTTTGTAAATAGGTCCGATGTACTACAAAGGCTTGTACCATCTCTTTTATCAATATAATCCAAAGGGTTCGGTTTGGGGAAACATTGTGTGGGCCCACTCGGTTTCCAAAGATTTGATCAATTGGGAAGCACTTGAACCGGCCATTTACCCTTCAAAATGGTTCGACATCAACGGTACATGGTCCGGTTCAGCCACAGTTGTGCCGGGCAAAGGACCGGTTATCCTCTATACCGGACTCAAGAAGGACCAAACCCAAATGCAAAATTACGCAATTCCCGAGGACCCATCCGATCCTTACCTGAGGAAATGGATTAAACCGGATGATAACCCGATAGCTGTGGCCGATAGAACCATGAACCGGACCTCTTTCCGTGACCCAACTACGGCTTGGTTTGGCAAAGATGGCCGTTGGAGAATATTGGTCGGTTCAAAACGCAAGCATAGAGGAATGGTTTACTTATACCGGAGTAGAGATTTCAGGAAATGGGTCAAGGCCAAACACCCTCTCCACACCAAACAGGATACCGGTATGTGGGAATGTCCCGATTTTTTTCCGGTTAGCTTAACCGACCACAAGAACGGTTTGGACTTCAGTTACAATGGTCCGAACATCAAGCACGTGTTGAAGGTCAGTTTGGATATGACCCGGTTCGAGTATTACACACTTGGAAAGTACTATACCGATAAGGACCGGTACATACCGGACGGTTCATCTCCTGACGGTTGGAACGGTTTGAGATTTGATTATGGTAACTTCTACGCTTCTAAGACATTCTTCGACTACAAGAACAAGAGAAGAATTCTGTGGGGTTGGGCCAATGAATCTGACACTGTCGAAGATGACACGAAAAAGGGTTGGGCTGGAGTTCAGGTTATAAATAATTCTCTTTCTATCCTTATTAGCTACATTTCGAATATAATATAAGGTTTCATTCTTGACGTTTTCCACATTGTTTATTTGTCGGTCCATTCAGCTTATCCCAAGAACCGTATTGCTCGACTCTAGTGGGAAGCAGTTGGTGTTTTGGCCAGTCGAAGAGCTCAACACATTGAGAGGCAAAAAGGTCGAAATAAAGAACAAGAAAATCGACTACGGCCAACGTTTCGAGGTCCAAGGAATCACCGTAGCACAGGTATGTAATGAAAGAAGCTGTTTTTCGTAGTTTTATAAATGGATCACGTTTCGGTATTTAAGGTCGTACAATATAACAACGTTGAATAGGCCGATGTTGAAGTAACATTCAATGTTGGAAGCCTTGCAATGGCTGAACCTTTCGACCCGAAGTGGACAAATGCGCAAGACTTGTGCAACATGAAGGGCTCGACGGAGAAAGGCGGCGTCGGTCCGTTTGGTTTGATCACCTTGGCCACTCCCGATTACGAAGAGTACACTCCCGTTTTCTTCAGAGTTTTCAAAGACACCGCCACGAATGAGCTTAAGGTCCTCATGTGTTCCGACGCCAAGAGGTAACGTTTTTGCTTTGAATAATATATATAAATTTAACAATGTGAATATATACAGATATTTAATTTTGATGTTTTTCCTTTCCTTTTAGATCATCTCTAAGGACCGACGACGGTACTGAACCGAAGGACAGAATGTACAAACCGTCTTTCGCTGGCTTTGTGCACCACGTAGATTTCGCAGATGGAAGGATCTCTCTTAGGACATTGGTACGTCATTCTTTGCATTTATACATTTTGGGACCGATTTAGTTGCGCAAAGTTTGATCTATCGATATATGAAATGAAAAATCGTTGCAGATCGATAACTCGGTAGTAGAAAGTTTCGGAGACAAGGGAAAGGTCGTGATAACGTCTCGAGTGTATCCGGAGAAGGCAACGACCGAGAATGCTCATTTGTACGTTTTCAACAATGGAACGCAGCCCGTGACCGTGGAGTCTTTGAATGCGTGGAGCATGAATAAACCCTTGGAGATGAATGAAGGAGCTCACTGAAACCTTTTCTCTTCTTTATTTTTTTTTTAAATTTGTTTCAGGATTTAACTTTTGGGATTTTTCGTTTTATTTGGATTTTTAATTTGTATATGCCCTCAGATTATGTATGGGGTCTAACATTGATAATTTCCAAATAATAATACGAAAAAAATCCCACACAACGTATCTGCGCATATCCCAATTAGATTTTTTACTTTCTTAATCTCATTAATTTAGTCAAATCTATATATATTAATAAAGAAGTTTAAAGAGATTTGGTGAAGCCACCTCATCCTCCACATCATCAATTTTGTAAATTTTGATTGGTTCATAAAATATTTATTAACTATATATAATTAAAGCATTTAATTTATATTTTTTTTATTGAACATGACAACTAAATGGTTATATATTAAACAAATATTAGATTATTATCGACAAAAAGAAAAAAACCAACTTTATTATATAAAATTTTCTGTTTTTGCTGATTACACTTGTATTTAAAAAATATTTGGTATCTTGATATAAAATCATATTAATAGATTATTATTAATACATTCTTTTAGACAAAATGGAAAATACAATTTAACTTCAAAACCATTATGGTAAAAATTTAAAAAACCAAACAAAAACGGACAAGACTCTAAAGCGTTTAGCCCACTAACAATCATATTTATTACATTAGTATTACCAAAATTTAGAAACTGCCAATGAATTCTATAGGGGTGCCAATTAATTAGCAATTATTATATTTGCTCTTCAAATATATATAAACTAAGAGGGATTGGCAAATGCTCTTCAGTGTAATAAGGCATCAGAGCTATTGATAGACCCTTCCATATCGCAGTCTTCTCATGTTTTTTTTTATGTAATTGGTTTTGCAGTTTTCTCATGTTAGATGGAAAGAAAGCTTAAACCTTTGATGCTTGAGGATTTCTCTGAGAGTCTTGAATGGAGAATGTCACTGGTGACCCTTGGAATAGGTAGTTATATTCCTTCCTTTTATTTTGTATTTCTGGATGTGATTTGCCAATATCACGATTCAATAAGTACATCTTTTCTTCTTATGCTTGGGGTTTTTAGATCATATAATTGATCTAATTAACCAATGCTATGTATTATATCTAAATTTAATATAATATGCGTTGATCTTTATGATCATAATTACAAATGATCCAAACAACATACATACTTTTAAAAGTATATATATAAAAATATATAATAAAATTCGTTTTGTATTTGTCTGCATTCGGGTTTAAAAGTATGGTTTGCATTCGTTTTGATTTTCTAATGGTTTATTTTGTATTTGTTAAATATAGAAGTTCAGCATAAGCTGGGGATGTACTAGAATATAAATCCGATTTAATTTATATTAGGTATATAAATATATATGTATATATACACTATATTTCCATCTATCAATAATAACAAAAAGAAATATTTTTCCAATTTTCAATTTTTAAATTCTATCTAGAATTCAAAAGGGTTTCAAAATGAAACTTAAACTTGTATTTGGGTTCATCTTCAAAAGGCTTCCCAGTTATCTTCATAGTTATTATGTTCTAACATATTTATGGATTCACTCCTCGAATAGTTTAATTACTTTGTTATTTTTTAAAAATAACTTTTTACAATGAGTTTAATATAAAAACGTGCAAAAAAAAAGATACATCCAAAAAAAGGGAAATTAGAAACAAGAGGCAAAATAATTGGTTATGCCCCTGAAGATTACTAAAGCTGATGGCTCTACTATAGAAATATATATATTTATAAGCAGATTTTACACTTTGAACTTAACCACAACGAAGGGTATGGAGAAAACAACTGCATACATGCATACAAAACCATGTTTCAGAGTTCCATGGACAAAGACATTTGTCTGAAAAATCCCTCTAAAGTATAAAGAGATCAAAGTCAGAAAATCTCAATTAAAGGGACAGAAACAAGAGAGCTGAGTTTGTAGTATGATTTTCGTCAAATAAATTTATGATCTTCTGTCAACAAATGAAGCGATATATAATTTCTTTATGATGATCAAACTTTCAAATTCATCAAGAAATGGAAAAACTGTCTCATTTCAAATTCTCTCTTTTTTTTTCCTGTTTTTTTCCTTCTTTTTTTATATCTCCGTTTCATTATTTTTTTAAGTAAAGTTATGAAATATAGTATTTGACATGATAGAACTCTTTCAATATGGCAGTTTGGACAGAGTATATTATATTATATCTATACATATTATATTTATATCTTTATTTTTTTTAAACTCAAGTTAATCTGTAAGAGTTTGGACAAAGGACAAAGTATTTTATATTACATATTATATTTATATCTTTGTTTTTCAAAACTCAACTCAATCAATTAAATTACATGTAAATTACCTATTTTTAAAATTAAATTATGTATGTACGTGTGCATAACTTTATTTATTACTTTTATTAATTTGCATTCCATTTTTTATTTTATATTTTTTAATTTATTTAGTTTTAATGATATGTAGAGTAATGAAATATATATTAGATTTTATCTAGATATTTATGAATACATTGTTATAAAATTAAATGAAAAATTTTAAAATGAAAAAAAAAACATTGTTAGACCAATGAATAAAAAGCTTTTAAAATGAAGATATAAGTAATAGAAAATGAAATAATAAAATAAATTTAATAGATATAATTATTTTTAAAAATATTTATTATTATTTTAGATGAGATTTATTGATTTATACCGTAATAATAGATATACAAAAAATTATAATGGGGAAGAAATCATTATAAAACTAAATGATAATGTGTATATGTATGAATATATATAATATAACATATATATATATGTATAATATGTATATATATGTCTGAAATATTTGTATGTAACTATGCATATATATGTGTAAAAACACCCCGAACAATGAAAAATTATGATATTTAGTAAATAAATAATTTAATCATGTGACAAAATTGCTAAAATGTTACGAGAGTTCGGAGGAGTTTGTTGCTTTTGGATATCGGGTAACAAACTTTTCTGCAGTGACAAAATCCCCCTTCATATTTTTTCTTGATGGACGAAGAGATGTATAGTCCATGTCTTGGTTAGAGGATGTTTCTCCAATCGTTGCGTGAGGGATCACTATTTATAACGTTTGGTATTGGTTTTGTGGGTTATGAGGCTGTTGATATGTGATTTTATGATTGTTATTGTTAATATCACAAAAATGATTTTATAACATAATAATTCAAAGATATTTACGTTTTTCCATTTTTTTTCTCAATATATATATATAATGATTTAATAATATACTTTTTCATATATTAATATCAATGATTTTACGTAACAAAAAACTGAATATTTTATATTATCAATAAAACAAATAACCCGCGCATCGCGCGGATCTCTCCTAGTCTATATATATTAATAAAGATGTTTAAAGAGATTTGGTGAGGACACCTAAGCATCCTAGGTGGTTTTTTTGCATTTTTTATAGTATTGATTGCGATAAAAAATTTTCTCACAATTTTATTTTTTCTAATTTTATTTTAAAATCTTACAATTTAGTTTTATCATAATTTTTTCATAATTATATTTTTAGTTTATCTATTGTGCTGTTATAAATCAATAAAATCTCATTTTATTAAAAATAATTATTTTTTGTTAAATTTCTCTATTATTTTATTTTTGTCTATTCACTTGTACATTTTAAAAGTTTTTATTTAATTTTCATAATATTGTTTTAATAATTATGTACGTCACTATTAATTAAGCTCATTCTATCAATCAATATAACATACATTTCATTACTCGATTCATTATTAAAAGAATAATAAAATAAATAATCAAAGAAAAAAATAAATAATAAAATTAATAGATAAATTTTATATACATAAATAAATCTTTCAAAAACATTATTCTTCGACATTGTAAGTCGAGTATGTCAGTTTTTTTTTATAGATTCCATAACATCAAGTAATCATATGACCCTATCTACCAATCTAGAATCATAACATACATGAATAAACGTTTAATCTAACTCAAAAATTTGAAGAAAACACTTCAATTACATCGCCCATTTTCAACTTACATGCACTTGAGATCTCTTAGTGACTCGTGGTTTAGCCTTGTCCTTAGCTTTTAATTCGCGGGTGATGGCATCATTCCATACAACGACCAGTTCGAGTTCTCTGGCCCTACCGCCCTACTCAGCAGATCCGAAATGGTATAACACTCTGGAACTCTTGCACAATCATCTGCAAATCCAAATATCACCATTGTTCAATCTATGTATATGTTTTGATGGAAATGTACATAATATAATCTCAGCAGTGTCGCTGACTTTGCTTTAAGAATCCTCTCCCTCCGACGTCATCGAAAGCCGTTACTAATATTCCCTCGTTTGCCGACCGTCGCTGTCTAGGCCAGAGCCATAAAAGAATATATCGTTGTCATCATTTAAATGTTGTTTCGTATGAATTGGTTTCTTTTTTTTTATTGAAACTCAACATTTACCGTTATACTTATATATATTTTAACTATATATTAATTTGTAATTTATTTTATTATAATTTATATATTTATTTACACTTTATGATATATAAATATATAAATAGATATTTGATTGAATTTTAAAATTTATCTTTTTGATACATTATCTACTTTGTTTATAATAATTAGTTGTATTGATTTCAAATTAGAAATCTTTTATATTCCTCATTAAATACATTTAAAAAAAATACTTATTTATATATAATATTTTTAACTTAGTGAAACTAAAAATGACTATTGTAATTATATATTCATTAGTATTTTAGTTTATTATAAATCATATGTTTTTTCATTTATATTATTTATGTGTGTGAATTTTAGAAATATATGAATATTTGTTTTATATATAAATAAATGAATCATATGTTTTGGATTATATGTGTCACCTGATATGTAAAAAAAACTTAATTTATATATGTAAAAATTATTGGGTTATTCATAATTGATTATATGTAAATCCTAGGCTTGTACATAATTACACACATATTTACATATAAATATATATACATATATGTATATATATACATATTTATACATGTATATATATTTAATATTATGCATATGTATATTGTATATAGATGTATATAAATATATATATATATACATGTACTTATATTTTATATTTTTATGATTTAAATATATATATATATATATATATATATTACTTTTATTTTTATTTTTCGGTCATGAAGCTATTATTTTTCTTGATCAATATTCTCGTATTCTTAGATTGGATCTATAGATCTCTTTATTTAAAGAAAGATGTAGAACCTTGTCTCATAATCAACATGTTTCTGTTATCTTTGTTGGTAGAGGTTGATTGAAAAATTATGAAAAAAAAAAAGACGCATTCTTAATGGATAGTACAAAAAATTACAAGAATATGAACCAAAGGACAACATTGATTGTCAAATAAAGAAGGAACTACACACCAATAATACAACATTGATTGTCAAATAAAGAAGGAACTACACACCAATAATACAGATAGCGCAATATATATCAAACTCATTATCTAATAAAATAATGGATCCATAATCGAATCTATATCCGATACAGCGCCCGATCAAAAGATAATCTTATTAGAGACAAAATTAATGATCATAGAAAAATAAATAAATCCGCGAAAAGTCTACAACGGGTTGCGCATCATTCCAGCGATGGAGGAGACAGGGGCAGCGGCGACGATGATGGGAGGGAGAAGGGATTGATAGAGGAAGGCAACGAACTTGACGGCCCGTGAGGTTGGCCTGCGTCTGCTCAAGGCAATCGAATATTGTGTCCGATATTCTGATTCGGATCTCCTCCTCGCTTCGTAAACCCTAATGGGCCTCATGAAACATGATCACTCTCAAGTATGTCCTTGCGTTTTCTTAGGTCTTCGATGTTTTCGGTCCATTTAGGGGGTTATTAATTCACGAGTTTATAGTCTCTTGTGTTGTTCTCCGTTCCTGGTTGAATTAGTGCGAAAAATGAAATAATAATAACTTGGTCCCGGGCGAGCGCTAACAGATGATTAAGTTGTTAGTGATGAGTGGGAGTGGGGATTCTTCCGGTGATTTCCAAAGCATCAGAGATGTCATCTGCAACGCTGGTGTTGGTGTCGGCGCTGGTAAGTTTGATGATATTTCTTCTGCTTTAGGATTCTTTTCGCTTTGATCGATGATTTTTTTAGGTGAGTTGTGTTTTATTGGGTTATTGTTTTTGTATTGATGTGGAAATTCAAGGGCGATCGCTGCGATATTTGTTTATCCACTGCATGTGATCAAGACAAGATTACAAGTTCTTGGTCTTCCGAAAACTCCAACGGGCCAAAAGAGGTTATCATGATGCACAGAAAGAATAAGCCTCGATTAAGAAAAACAAATGGTGGGAAAAAAGGACATGATACACATGAGATTGAAGATGAATCCAAGAAAGGCATGTAGGAAATGTTTGTAAGTTGTCTTTGTTTTCAATATTTCATTTAATCTTTTTAATAATTTTCTCATGATGTCACTATCTTAAGAGAAATGATATTCAAGTCGGATTAAAGAATAAATATGATGATATATACAAAACATCCAAAAACCTTTTTGGAGAACGTGATCGATATTGCCATCACGTTTTCCAAACTCTAAATCAAGGAGCATATATGTTGGAATAAGTCCCAACTTTTGGTTTCCATTCAATTTTATTAGATCATATTTACTTCTTTTTTTTGTAAATTCTATGATCATTAATTTTGTCTCTAATAAGATTATCTTTTGATCGGGCGCTGTATCGGATATAGATTCGATTATGGATCCATTATTTTATTAGATAATGAGTTTGATATATATTGCGCTATCTGTATTATTGGTGTGTAGTTCCTTCTTTATTTGACAATCAATGTTGTATTATTGGTGTGTAGTTCCTTCTTTATTTGACAATCAATGTTGTCCTTTGGTTCATATTCTTGTAATTTTTTGTACTACCCATTAAGAATACGTCTTTTTTTTTTTTTTCATAATTTTTCAATCAACCTCTACCAACAAAGATAACAGATACATATTGATTATGAGACAAGGTTCTACATCTTTCTTTAAATAAAGAGATCTATAGATCCAATCTAAGAATACGGGAATATTGATCAAGAAAAATAATAGCTTCATGACCGAAAAATAAAAATAAAAGTATAATATATATATATATATATATATTTAAATAATAAAAATATAAATTATAAGTACATGTATATATATATTTATATACATCTATATACAATATACATATGCATAATATTAAATATATATACATGTATAAATATGTATATATATACATATATGTATATATATTTATATGTAAATATGTGTGTAATTATGTACAAGCCTAGGATTTACATATAATCAATTATGAATAACCCAATAATTTTTACATATATAAATTAAGTTTTTTTTACATATCAGGTGACACATATAATCCAAAACATATGATTCATTTATTTATATATAAAACAAATATTCATATATTTCTAAAATTCACACACATAAATAATATAAATGAAAAAACATATGATTTATAATAAACTAAAATACTAATGAATATATAATTACAATAGTCATTTTTAGTTTCACTAAGTTAAAAATATTATATATAAATAAGTATTTTTTTTAAATGTATTTAATGAGGAATATAAAAGATTTCTAATTTGAAATCAATACAACTAATTATTATAAACAAAGTAGATAATGTATCAAAAAGATAAATTTTAAAATTCAATCAAATATCTATTTATATATTTATATATCATAAAGTGTAAATAAATATATAAATTATAATAAAATAAATTACAAATTAATATATAGTTAAAATATATATAAGTATAACGGTAAATGTTGAGTTTCAATAAAAAAAAAAGAAACCAATTCATACGAAACAACATTTAAATGATGACAACGATATATTCTTTTATGGCTCTGGCCTAGACAGCGACGGTCGGCAAACGAGGGAATATTAGTAACGGCTTTCGATGACGTCGGAGGGAGAGGATTCTTAAAGCAAAGTCAGCGACACTGCTGAGATTACATTATGTACATTTCCATCAAAACATATACATAGATTGAACAATGGTGATATTTGAATTTGCAGATGATTGTGCAAGAGTTCCAGAGTGTTATACCATTTCGGATCTGCTGAGTAGGGCGGTAGGGCCAGAGAACTCGAACTGGTCATTGTATGGAATGATGCTATCACCCGCGAATTAAAAGCTAAGGACAAGGCTAAACCACGAGTCACTAAGAGATCTCAAGTGCATGTAAGTTGAAAATGGGCGATGTAATTGAAGTGTTTTCTTCAAATTTTTGAGTTAGATTAAACGTTTATTCATGTATGTTATGATTCTAGATTGGTAGATAGGGTCATATGATTACTTGATGTTATGGAATCTATAAAAAAAAGACATCCATAAACGAACATCGTCGTTTAAAAAAAAATAGCACATCGGCTAGGGTTGACGGTGATGAACACCGCCGTCGGGAAAAAAAATAGAAGAAAAAAGAGCAAAATAAATTTAAAACGATACTCAAGACAATGATACTATTGGATTTAGTACATCGTTGTCATCTTCATCGTCGCTTTCGGATTCGACCGACATTGTTGATGAGAAGAAGGAAAAAAAAATTAGAGCAAAAACCGAAGCTCTGATACCATAATAGGGAAATGTTTTTCTATTATTGATAATGAGAAAAATACATCATAATATATAGCAAAATACAATAGAATATTCTAGGCATAATATCTAGGGTAAATCATAACAATATTAATGATAATATTCTAAGAATAATATATTCATATACTTATTTCTCTAAAGGGAACCTTAGAACTTTATATCATGTTATATAAAAATAAAATGATCACTTTTTTAAAAAATGACAATATTATAAGAAAACCATGTAAAAATTAAAAAAAGTATATTTTATATTACAGTTATGTATATTTGTAAACTTAGATTGAATATAAAAATAATAAAAACAGTAAATTTATTTCAATCTATTGTAATTTCAGATTAGATTTGTCTACTTGATATTTAGTTTGGTAAAAATCAATATGTTATAATAATTTTAAAAATATAACAAATTATCTTTATTTATATGTTAATTATGATTATTAAAATGATAGTATTTTAACATCTAATTATATTTAGTAGAATAAAAAGTTAAAAAACTTAAAATGGCGAATGAAAACAAAAAACGTATCATTATGCATATTTTGGTGCTCATTAGTGATAAAGAAAATCAATTTGGCAATTATTATTTAGAGATATTGGAAAATTCATAAATATATTTCAATGAGAAATGTGATGGGGTTAACTGATATTAATAAACATAACGTTATTAATTCATTGAAAAGTCACGAAAATTACAACGACACATATTGCGATGAGAGAGAAAGATACATTCGCACTAATACTTATATTTATTACACAGTATTATTGGCACGTTCTTTCCCAAATCAATAATTTCGTATTTCGCAACTGCCATTGAATTATGATAAAAAGCAGATGCAAGAAAGTTTTCATACAACCATTTTTTAACATGTGGAGCAGTAGTAGAGTCACCGGGTGAACGGAATGATATGCAGAACTGTTTGTCATGGCAAAAGGAACAGATGATGTGCTAAACGAGGTCTTTGTCGATACATTATCGGTGTGATATTTTAGTTTCATTTTTTTTTGTCATCTCTTGCATTTTGTAGGATCGTTTGGATTCTTTTTTTTTTAAGAGTCTATTGTCATTATTCAATTTGTATCCAGGTGAGAATTATGAGCTATATATATATATATAGTGATGTAATAGATTCAATATATTATGTTATTGCCATGTGAAAAATAATGGGGTCATCTTACGGGTATGTGAATCGGTATGTTCAGAATTCCTCAAATTAGAGATATCGTTCCATTTTCCTATAATTGTGACGTAAGTGTATTCTTCTATTTAGTTTTATCTGCAAATGGTTGTTCTCTCTGTTTTTTCCATTATGAGATTTCGTGTTTTTGAAATTCATCAGGATCCACAGGTCAACCATACCGATTACCCGCTGATTGACATCTCTGAAGATGGATTTGTATGAACTTTCGCTGCTTTTTTCAATGTCGAAACACTTAGAATGCAATGTGATAGAACTGTTTTTAACAGGTTTCAAATTGTTAACCCACTCGCAGGTTAGCTACTTAGCTTGCTGACCGATAATGGTAACGCCAAGGATGACCTAAGGCTCCCCACCGACGAGACTCTGCTCAGACAAGTTAGTGTTGCCTACTCATCCCATAATATTTGTCTCTTTTGTGCACTTTCTTCCACTTATAGATTTATACGATACCGTAATACCGGTATCTTAATCGGATGGAACATTAACATATGTAGTAACCGTTGTGTTTGAATAGATCAAGTCGGCGTTCGGTGATGGGAAGGATCTTTTGGTGTCTGTTATGTCGGCCATGGGAGAGGAGCATATATGTGGTCTTAAGGACATTGGCCCCAAGAGCTAAACCATGCTTTCTTGCCGACAAAGTTTCATCTATGTCCTGAGTTTCACATCGGAGGCACTCACAGTCTTATGAACAATTATTTTTTCATAAAAAAAAGGTCATGTGACATTTCCCTCTTTATATGGTGCTTTCAATATATTATTATGATTCGAATGTTTTTATTCTGATTTTTTTTCCCTATATCGTCTATCTACATCCGTATTGGATGATATGCTTTGATTTGTTACAGTAAATGTCTCAAGAATAAAAGTTTGCTTTATTAGTATTTAAGATATTTCTAGAGTTTTAGTGAAAATTAAAGTGGGATGTTTTCCATGCCTACGTATATACTTGCATGTACGTATATTTTGACCCATTTATTTCATTCATGCATATATGTACTACCATTGATGATTTTATAATCTGGATCTATTTATTTCATTCATGCATATATGCGCCACCACACATATTTATGGTCCCAACTACCATTGATGATTTTGTTACTTTCTTTTTCCTCTTGGGATCAAATAATACTATACAATTTATATTTGGCACTGATGTGAAACAAGGCCATACGATTTGCCACAGAGCATGAAATATATAGCCCAAAGGTAATCACGAAAATCAAGATCGGGATGATCGAATGTATCAAAATAAGGAGCTGATTTTGTTTTGTGGCAAAGATATTTGAGTTTTCTGTTTTCTGTTGTATTCCTTTTTTAAGTGTTTCTATTTTGTTTTTATAAAAAAAAATCAATTTGTTTTTACGAATTTCGGTTGTGTTCAATTTGTGGTCAACTCGAATTTGACTTTTATTTAAAAAATTGCTAAGATATTATTACTCTTATTTTTTTATTCAACTTGAGCAGCTCTGGTGGACGTGATAAGTCGGGATGGGCAAGTGGAGGAAGCCATGGAAGTGATAAGGACCATGCATTTGGCGCCAGACAGAGCGGTCTGGGGGGCTTTGTTGGGAGGTTGCAGAGTGCATAACAATGTCGGGCTGGCTCGTGTTGCGGCCGAGGAGCTGATGAGGCTCGAACCAGAGAGCTCGACGCCGTACGTGTTGCTTTACAATATGTATGCGGACATGGGAATGTGGGATGAAGCTTCTGCTGTTAGGAAAGTGATGGAGAGTCGGAATATCGTTAAGGCAAGGGGATCGAGTTGGACGGAATCCTCACTTACTGGACGCTGATTCTCCGTCTCTTGCTGATGTTTAATGAATAAAAAAAAAGTTTTTTATATAGAGATTACCGAATTGCCCCTTAATCAAGACCTAATTATACGTGTCACGCTTCTATTGGACCTGCTAAATGAGCTCCTCGTCCGACGACGGGGCACATTAGCACCACCTCTTTACGTGTAAACTTCTAAAACTATCCCCTCTGTAGAATCTTCCCGGGAGAGAGAGAGAGAGTGGCGAAGCTATAGATTCTCTCTGACCTAGCCTCCTTCGCCGTCGTTGTGAATTTTGCTTGAATTCGATTCCTTTTTTGTTCTTTGTTGATTTTGACGAGATGAACGGGAAGGCGAAAAGGGCTCGAACGAGCCTCGATCATCACCCCGTTGTCGATTTCTGGAGACGAGAGGTTGGGACGATTTCATCACGGAGTTTCGCCGACCGTTTCGCTGCTTCCGAGGTTTTGTAATCGTCTCTTGTTCGTCTTTCTCATGGGTTTTCCTTTGATCCGTTTTCTGTGTTCGAAATTTTGAATCTTTTGTGAACCCCATCGGTGCAGTTTCTATCGTCCGATCCTTTTGTCTATTCAATCGTTGTATCAATTTTCGGAATTGCTACGATGAATCGCTAAGACCATTTTCGATGCTGTCACTGTAGAACCTGGTTCTGCGTCTAGAGATATACAAGAAGCTTCAGAAGCATAGAGAGTGTGTGAACACTGTGGGCTTCAATGCCGATGGCGACATTCTGATTTCCGGTTCTGATGATCGTCGTGTCATTCTCTGGAACTGGGAGGTTGGCAATGTCGAGCTTTCTTTCCATTCAGGACACTCTAATAATGTATTCCAGGCCAAGTTTATGCCTTTCTCCGACGATCGGAGCATCGTAACCTGTGCTGCAGATGGAGAGGTTTTTATTATTGCAATATCTTCTAAATATATATATATATATATAACATTAAAATTATTATATACACTTAATTTGTAAAATATCGATTATTTTTATAAATAAGTGATACCATAAATTAATAGTTTCTAATATTAGTTTATATTTTGAAGTATTTTTATATTTAAGTGATATTTTAATATTTGAAAAGAGTGTAGATTATATATTTTTTAATTTTATATTAAGACAAGTAAAGAATAAAAAACAGGCTGAAGAAGAGCTTCATGATGAGATGGCACTGGTCATTAAAAAATTCAACAGATTCTTCAAAGGGAAGAAGAAATTTGGACAATCAGGTGACAGAGACTCAGGAAAATGCTTGGAATGCAAAGGCACAGGACATTGGAAGGCTGACTGTCCGAGTATTGCAAAAAGAGAGAGTGTGCTAAAGAATCTCAAGGAGACACAATGTTTTGAATGCAAAGGGTTTGGACATACTAAGGTGGAATGTACCAAACAGAAAGGAAAATCCTTTATCTCTCACGAAGATAGCTCATCCGAGGAAGAAAGTGACGAAGAAAATCTGTCCAACTTCGTTGCATTTCTTGGGATCATTGAGGAAGAAAATGATCAAGCAGAGGATAGTGATGAAGAAGAAGTCACTGAGGAGGAATTATTCACAGAAATGAACAAGTTGGTGTTGATGAATAAGCAACTGATCACGGAAAAACAACAACTGGAGAAGGAACTTCAACAAGTGCAACTGGTGCTGACAGATACTCAAGAAAAACTTGCACAAAAAGAAGAAGAGGCTTCATTGATGAAATGTCAACTGGAAGGAACCAGGAAGAATCTACATCTTCTTGGAAACGGGACTGGAAAATTAGATCATTTGCTGGGACAAGGTCGGAATACTGGAGATCATTCTGGTCTCGGATATCGAGGAAAGTCATCTTCCGGATCTAATTTTGTGTCTGGAGGAAAATTGAGCCAAGAGATACCTGATGTGAAGCGTAAAAACCCTCCATCAAGACAACCATTACGTTCATCCAACTGGAGACGACAAGAAGACAGATGTTGTTATCACTGTGGTAAAGTGGGACATCTCAGAAGAAACTGTTTCTATCTAAACAGGAACAGGGGTACTATCAGGTATTCAGCTCCTGCATTTGGGTATCCTCATTGGAACTTAAGATGGATTCGAAAATCAGATCTAATGTGTAATGTTGCTTATACTACTGAGCACACAGAAAACACTGGAACCTGGTACTTTGATAGTGGTTGCTCAAGACATATGACAGGAAATCAAGAACTGCTCAAAGATTTTGTAGCAATACAGAACGGGGGAAGTGTTACATTTGGTGATGGCAAACAAGGAAAGATTCTTGGTAAAGGAATACTGGATCATGAGGGGCTGCCCAAGTTGACTGACGTTAAAGTTGTTCAAGGATTGAAAGCCAATCTTATCAGCATAAGTCAGCTATGTGATACTGGGATGAGAGTGAAGTTTACAAAGAATGCTTGCTTTGTAACTGATGCTGACAATAAATGTGTTCTGACAGGGAAGAGAAACACAAACAACTGCTATACGTGGGTTCACACACGTAAGGAGTCTACTCAGCATCTGAATTTCGTTGCAAAGAAAAATGACATGGAGTTGTGGCATCAAAGACTTGGACATATCAATATGCGAGCGCTTGTCAAATTGTCAAAGTCAGGTGCTGTTCGAGATTTGCCAGAATTATCTCACGATGACAAGTTTGTCTGCAAAGCGTGCCAACTGGGGAAACAGATTCGCATCTGTCACAAGAAAACAGACCATGTACACACAACTCATATCTTGGAGCTCATGCACATGGATTTGATGGGTCCTATGCAAACCGAAAGCTTCGGAGGAAAACGGTATGTTCTAGTATGTGTTGGAAAGTGACGAAGAAAATCTGTCCAACTTCGTTGCATTTCTTGGGATCATTGAGGAAGAAAATGATCAAGCAGAGGATAGTGATGAAGAAGAAGTCACTGAGGAGGAATTATTCACAGAAATGAACAAGTTGGTGTTGATGAATAAGCAACTGATCACGGAAAAACAACAACTGGAGAAGGAACTTCAACAAGTGCAACTGGTGCTGACAGATACTCAAGAAAAACTTGCACAAAAAGAAGAAGAGGCTTCATTGATGAAATGTCAACTGGAAGGAACCAGGAAGAATCTACATCTTCTTGGAAACGGGACTGGAAAATTAGATCATTTGCTGGGACAAGGTCGGAATACTGGAGATCATTCTGGTCTCGGATATCGAGGAAAGTCATCTTCCGGATCTAATTTTGTGTCTGGAGGAAAATTGAGCCAAGAGATACCTGATGTGAAGCGTAAAAACCCTCCATCAAGACAACCATTACGTTCATCCAACTGGAGACGACAAGAAGACAGATGTTGTTATCACTGTGGTAAAGTGGGACATCTCAGAAGAAACTGTTTCTATCTAAACAGGAACAGGGGTACTATCAGGTATTCAGCTCCTGCATTTGGGTATCCTCATTGGAACTTAAGATGGATTCGAAAATCAGATCTAATGTGTAATGTTGCTTATACTACTGAGCACACAGAAAACACTGGAACCTGGTACTTTGATAGTGGTTGCTCAAGACATATGACAGGAAATCAAGAACTGCTCAAAGATTTTGTAGCAATACAGAACGGGGGAAGTGTTACATTTGGTGATGGCAAACAAGGAAAGATTCTTGGTAAAGGAATACTGGATCATGAGGGGCTGCCCAAGTTGACTGACGTTAAAGTTGTTCAAGGATTGAAAGCCAATCTTATCAGCATAAGTCAGCAGTGAAGTGTACAAAGAATGCTTGCTTGGTAACTGATGCTGACAATAAATGTGTTCTGACAGGGAAGAGAAACACAAACAACTGCTATACGTGGGTTCACACACGTAAGGAGTCT